CATTAAATTCCAGTGAAATATATTTATGTTTGTGGTTGTAATGTGACAAAATATGGAAAAGTTCAAGGGGTATGAATACTTTTGCAAACCACTGTAAATCATAAAATGCTTTTCATAGAATTCAACATTTACTCTAAACATAACACCTGATCAAGAAGATGTTTAATACTGTGTTTGAAACGACACTGAAATAAAGTTTAAACTGATGTTTTCAATTAATCGAATGGAAGGAAATTAAATCTAATAAACCATTATTCGACAATTAATCATAAGTCGATTAATTGTTTGCATCCCTAATGTCTTTCTATCTTTGTGAGGACTACACACGCCAGCGCTCGCTCTGCACCCATCTTTCCCCACTGGGCAAAAACTAAATTTAAACCAGCTGACATTAACAACAAATGTCACACTGAACACTGAAATTGATTTTACAAGCTTTAACAATGAGCAAAATACATTAGATCAACTGAATTAATGTTTTTATGGTGATACAAGTGTATTAATAAAATTCATAAATTCATAAACTCACCGTCACAACTGCAGAAGAGGAAGATGACAAAAGCAATTACAAAAAGACAAAGAGATAGTTAGTATACAATCCATAAACAATTTTATAAATGTTTTCAGCTGCATATTTTAACTACCAGGGGTTGACATAAGGGCCTTTGGTTGGCCGAGACAACCTATTTTTGTTTCAATCAGATCTCCACCTCAAAGGAGGCAGCACAAGTGCACTTTAGCGTACATGTCAAGTTGTTTGGATTGTCCGTAATTTACATGGATTTTCCATCATTTTGCAGGTTTACGGACCTATAGAGGAATCTCACAGGTTTTTTCAAGTTTTACCGATTTTTTCAAAACCTCAGTTTCAAATTATTGTAACATGTCAGAGCCTGTAGGAAGTTACAAAAACAATAAATAACATCAAATAACCATCTCCCAGCGTGTTCTGCCATTAGAAATAAGACTAGAAATAAGTTCTCCACTTCTTACGCTCTCCTTTCCTCCTGCTTTGCAGCAAGGGCTGTCATCTCTGTGGCTGACAGTGCACCCGCTGCACAGGTGTGAGTAGTATGGATTTTTTGCAAAAATTACACAGGTAAACGTCCAAAAAGGGTTGACATGTTTGCTTTAGTTCTAATAATTAAACAATATTAATGCTATAATAATGTTAAAGATTAATATTTATAAGCCCCATATTATAACAAAGGTGTTTCTCCAATTGACTTTAATTGTCCCTCTAAAATCACTGAATTCTCTGTGAGTCAGCTTCAGGTGTTTGTTTATGATTAATACAGTATGTGCAAATTTTTATTCTACCAGGTGTTTTGGCAACAAGGAGTTGTAGTTTTCTGCTAAACCTATTTAGAACCATACTGAGTGGTAGTTACTGTGATGAATGCAATTCAGTAAAGATAAAATAAATTAATTTATACTGTGCAAAGGACTACCTGTGCAAAGGTTTTCCATCAGTCAGCTCTTCAATTGAAAACATTAAAATGACAAAAGTAAATTACAGAAAAGCTGTTTAAAACATCCCTCTTCCTTCAGAATGTCACTGTGTTGAGAATCTAAATGTTTCAGGTGTAAGTCTTCTTAAAATTTCCACACTGCATTAGAGAACATTTTCTAGGTGTAGAAAACTTTAGTCAAAATATTTTTTGCTGCTTTAATCCTTGAGTCTTAAATACTCTGTAAGTTCCTCTCTTATGACTCAAATGCAAAAGACTCTGGCGGACAACCAGATTTTGTCAAGAGGTTGTCTGAGGGACAACTAGAAAATTTGCTTTACGTCTACCCCTGATTACCATTTAAATGTCACAATGTTTGTGATCAATTAAAACAGATTTAAAATAGGGCTAGGTTAAAAAAAAAACGATTTAATCGATCTGGATCGATTCATAAGTCACGAGATCAATTTTTTCCCCACGGGTGTTGTGTGCGATGAAGCTGCGCGTTTCCGTGTTGTGTGTCACTACTGGCTTGCCGTAGGTTTACATCCAGTGCTAATGTTAGCTCCCGACAACAAGTTGTCTGGGGCAAAACAAAAGAAACAAAAGAATCACTAACATTACAGCTGATTCTCAGCTGAACTTAAAGATAACAGAGGCCAAGACAACTTTTGTTTGCAAAGTTTTGTGCTCGGACGCGGTAGCGGGACACGAAGCTAAGAACGGCTGGTTCCGGTGGTCGGACCAAAAACTACGGTACGTAAACATCTGACTGAAACTGTTCTCTGCATGTACAAATGTGTGAAAGATGTCAGTCTAACAAAATCGTTTACTTTTGTTACCAATATTATTTATAAATTTTAGAAACATCTTAATGTAATTCACAGTGGTGGAATATTTTAGCTGAAGTACTTTTTTCTTTCTTCTTGTTAATAAGTTTTACTGATCAGATGCTAACAAAAACATTACAAATATACAATTTTCATAGACTCATAAGAGTGGATATGAATAAGTACACTGCAAAAAATGTCCATCCAACCAAAATTAAAAACCTTTTATCCAGCCAAAAAAATCATTTTGATCTTGTTTTGAGACTGATTTACTAAACAAGAACTGATTGTGTAAGAATAATCATCTTGTTTTCAGAATGTGTAAGATTATTTGTCTTGTTAGRCTGAAAATTTGACTCAAATTCAATCAAAATTTTCTGCCAATGGAGAAAGAAAATTTTACTTCATAAGGTTCTTGAAATAAGAAAAAAATAAGTCAAATCAAGTATTTCAAGAATCTTACCAAGTAAAATTTTCTTACTCCACTGGCAGAAAGTTTTGACTGAATGAGTCAAATTTTCAAGCTAACAAGACAAATAATCTTACAATTCTGAAAACAAGATTATTATTCTTACACAATTAGTTCTTGTTTAGTAAATCAGTCTGAAAACAAGATCAAAAAGACTTTTTGGCTGGATAAAATATTTTAAAAAATTGGTTAGATTGACAGTTTTTGCAGTGCATACACTTGTATTATCCCACCTCTTCTCCTGTAACCTTATTCCATCATTTCTAATGATCAAGAAAATTATTCTTAATTTCTTTAAAAAACTACTGTATCAACAACACTTTCTCTTGCAATTTGTTTTTGGTTTAAACCCTTTGAAACTGAGACTGTTTTGTTTCAAGATTAAACTCCAATTTACAAGTTTGCCCTTTATGTTTATAATTTTACCAAAGCACCAAGTTAGAATTAGTTTCTACTATTTGCAGAATTAGTTCCTTTGAGAATGTCTTCTATATCAAAGTAAATGTTTTACTGCATGATATTCTTAATCTTTTGTGTTTCTGTTCAATGTGAACTTACTTGTGCGACAGTATGGATAAGCGTTCCATGCTTTTTCGTGAAAAACTAATGCTCCCTCTGGTGCAATCATCTTCACATATCCTGGAACTTTACTGTAGCGGTGTGTACAAAACAGAGAACAATTAAAAGAATGAAAAACAACAACAACAACAACAACAACAGTGTCTTTTCTGCTTGAATAAAAAAGATCACACTTTATCAATGTTTGTAACACTTGTGTTCTTTGAAGTTCAAGAACTAATAAAACAACAGACAGAGTTTTAAAAACTGCTGTCATATCAAGGCTGACACTTTGTGCTTCAGCTCCTCCTGGGTTACTGTGTGAATATTTTGTCTGTGGAGCTAATATATGAAATCGTCACTTTAACAGAAAAATACCTTGAACTGCCTCAGACAACACTTTTATTCAAAACCAGTTCTTCAAGACCTAACATTCATTGAAAGGCTGCATATCATTCACCAGGTTTCATGGCAGAGTTTTGACTAAGATTGTCTTTTGTTGAGAGTTAAAGCAATTTTGACCAAAAAATAAAATAAACTTTATGCACAATCTCATGAAATACTCACATAATCAGTTAGCACTCAGAATTTGTTGTGAATGACTCAGCCAATACCTCACCAAACTTTAGCTCTACTCAGTATCTGTAAAATTAACTGAGTTACAGCTGCTTTTGTTTTGGCTAAGGTCAAATTGCTGTGGTGGCCATCTTGAAAGGGATTTACTCCAAAAGTCAATCAATTGTAGATTTATATCAAATGATTAATTTCTGAAAGGTTTTATTAAAATTTGTTGATGAGGTTCTGAATTTAGTTTAAGTGTTGGACCTGTGGTCTTTCTGTGTGAAGCTTGCTTGTGTTTTCATTGTGTTTTTGTCTTGTCTTTGGTTTCCTACTAGTCTAAAGACATGCATGCTTGGGCTGCCTTCAGGCCCAGGCCATCCTTGAAAAAGAGATCTGTGATTTAAATGGGATTTGCCTGGTTAAATATATAAAATAAAAATGAGATGTTTTGCTAAAATAACAGATAAAAGCAAACACACAAAAACACAGAAATAAACATCACAGCCCAGCCGCTGTCTTTGATTACAGAAAATAATGTTATTTAGGGTCAGGTGCAAATTCTGGGTCAATCCCAATCTTAACCTTATGACCAGATCACTAAACCCTCACAGATTTAAGTGACGTCACACCTGTGGTGTTTACGTGCAAGAGTTTTAAGAGAGCCAACATGCTTTAAAACAGAGAAGCAACAGAACTCAAACTTCATATTGCAAAATACAAAAACTAAGCAAAAAAAAAAAAGATATGCTTCCATGCTGAGCAGAACATGTTCCAGTCAGTAGATAATTATGTTCATACACAGACTGGGGAATGGAATTCCTTTGAGCATCATGTATTGATTCAGGTGTTTGTGAAAACGGACAGGCAACATACATATGACCAGGAGTTCTATTGTTAAGACATGGCCTAATGTAATGTGCACATTCAGTCATTGCATATGCATTTGACCACTTACATTAATTGCTCAAACTTGGGAATATCAAGAAAGTATAATAAAGACTAAACTAATTTTTAGATTTTCTTGATGTTTCTATGCTTCAATTCTTTAGGACATTGATCAAGAATAGCACTGATAAAATGTTTGCTTTGTGATGTTACCTTGTATAAACTATAACTTCCCAAAATTGGCAGTTACGCTTAAAAAAACATTATTTCCATTTTGTGGTACATTAAATTTCTCTAAACTCAAAGGAGCTGTAATTTTTTTTGCTTATGTCTCCCATATACAATGCACTTTCTTCTAAAATAATATTTTTGTATCTGTGTCCAAAAGCGATATATTGAAAACAAGTCAAACTTTTAAAATTTTCCACAATTGTTTATTTAAAATCCATGTAAAATGGGAAAACTTACCTCTTTAAATGGTAGATTTTATGTGTGTATTGTCCCTTCTCCCCATCCTTCTCGTACGGCTCATTTTTCAGCACCTCAATGCCTTCTCCTCCTCCTGTCTCATTCTTACTTGCCTCAGCCACAGAATACAGCTGGCCTACTTGATACTGCAAGAAATTATAACAAAAACAAAAGATTCAGCATCAACATGTCTAAGAAACTACAGTAACAAACACACATGTACATACACACATGGATGGATGGATGGATGGATGGATGGATGGATGGATGGATGGAAGGAAAGATAGATAGATAGATAGATAGATAGATAGATAGATAGANTAGATAGATAGATAGATAGATAGATAGATAGATAGATAGATAGATAGATAGATAGATAGATAGATAGATAGATAGATAGATAGATAGATAAAATGTTCAATTAATATAGCTGATGTTATTTTTTATATTGTTACTTTAAATTTTGAAGCCTTGTGTGTGTCTTTCAAATGTCTGGTTGATAGTTAATAAATGATCCAGCCCACAGTTAGAGCTTCACTGTGCCACAACATCAGCAGCAGTAATGCCAGCGCCATGTAACAAATGCTTGTTTGTCTCATGAGTTTCTTACTCAAGCCTGAGTGTGTAACAGTTTTGTGTGAAAGAAAAAAAAACACAAATTTCACTGAACATAACATTTTTGTAATGTACATTTTCAAACCAAATTGTACATTAATTATCAAGTTCAAAAAAAGTTAAAAGATAACTGCACTCACCTCTTCCACAGAGACTGGCAACACAACACGGCTGAAGAGGAACATAAAGGAAAGAGGGAGAACAGAAAGAAAAATCAAATTACAAGACAACACAAAATTTAAACAACTCTGAAGGAATGTTGAAAAATTCCAAAGCAGCTGCTGCCCTATAAAAATAAACTCATTATGATCTAAGCTCGGAAAAAATGGCAATAATTTTATGTATGAGGCGAAAAAGACGTGTAAAGAAAACCAGGATTGATAAAAGTGATGAAGTTGCTGCCAGTGGCTTATTATTGTCACCACAACAAAGACACACCAGCAGGGTTTCCCCTACATGTAATTGATCGTGGTGCACCGCCACGGCAAAATAGAAGCCGCCACACATTCGGAATGAATTTTATTTTATTTTATTTTTATTAACGTAAAACAGGGGTTGACACAATCATTGCTTAGGTTGTCCGAGACAACCTATTTTTGTTTTGGACAACCAGATCCCGGCTCCTAAAAGACCTAGCCTTATTTTCTTCTTCCTGTAGATTTTTTTACCTCTTGACAAAAAAACGAGACTAGACAAGACGAGACTTTGGATTGCAGTTTTTACACAGAACATATTTAATAGAAGAAAATGTGTTGTAAACTATCATTACTCCAGTTTTATTTGGCATATCAGCACAGTTTAAAAACTACAGTAAAGTTTTTGTGCTCTCCTTTTTACTAAATTTTTTTGTCAAATTATTTTTTTATTATTTTTTAACATAATGTACAACAAAAAACAAACAACAAACTAACAAAAACACAAACACCCAAAATCCCACCCCTACCTATACCGGATCTACTAAAACAACAAAAATCGATCTTGTATTAATACAAGTGATATAAAWAAATGTTTGTGTACAATGAAACAATATTTAACCTTTACACAAAGTTATCTGCCGAAATTTTTTCTACATAAGATATAAATGGCTGCCAAATGTCAAAAAAAATTGTTTACAGATCCCCTAACAGTATATCTAATCTTCTCTAAATGAATGTAGGACATAACTTTCCTTTTTACTAAATTTAAAGCAGTTAGATATGATGTATTTTCCCAGTTAAAGTGATTTAGATGAGTGAAGAAACCAGAATTCAGTGGTGTGTACATGGACTCCACAGATGTTAAAGAAGGGAAATGAAATTCAGCTGTTGTAAGACAGAGTACATATTTCTGAATGGGAGGCGGCAGGTGGAACAGAGAGAAGAAGCACAGGGCACAAAGTTATAGGAACCTTAAGTACTTAGGTTAAACTATTCATGTAAATGTAGAGTTAATAAAAGAGAGAGAGACCTCAAACAACTAAGCCAACAGCAGAAAAGTCCATCATAAGAAAAACACTAACTATTAAGGTAACTAGCAAAGATGTAGCCTCAGATGACACAACTCCAAGGCCAATCATTAAAACGACTTAAAATGCTGAAACAACAAAACAAATTCAAGAGCTTTTAACTACCATAAGTGATAACATCTATGACATTTCTGATCCTCTAAAGCAGTGATTCCCAACTAGGGGTACGTGTACCCTTTGGGGAATGCAAGCATATTACGGGGGTATGTGGAAAATTTTCTCAGATGTGTAAAAAAATTAATAAAATAAAACTAGAATATGTAGGGCCCTATCAGATTTCAGCAATGCAATAAATGCAGACGAAATCACGGAATTGACACAAAATGGAATCAAATATAAAATGTGGAATCTCTTGGAATTTGCTATTTTGGTCGAGTTTTTGATGTATTTTGGAAAATACAATAGATTTTGAACGCTGCTGCTTCCTGCACCGAACGGTACCTGGTTTATTTCTGTAATTATTTATTCACTTTCAAGGCAACATTTGATTTGAAAAGAATAAAATTCCTGAGAATTAAATGTTCTAGAGTGTTAAATAAATAAATTTCATTTAATAATCAGTTGTTGTACATTATAGCTTCAGAGAATCATCATTACGTTTGACAGAGGTGGTACTAGTGGTAAGACAAAATGGCCCAGGGGGTACACAAGTCTAAAAAGGTGGGAACTACTGCTCCAAAGGGAGGATTGGATTCGATTAAAGGAACAGATTATCATAACAATGTTAAACCTTTGTTTAAGCCATTTGGACCAAGAGTTGAAGGAAGGACAAGACCTTAGGTGATGAACCTCCACCCCCCACCCCCCGATTAAGAACCATCTGATGATGGGTAAAAGTAAAGAGCTCTCTCAAGACCTTCACAACCTTATTGTTGCAAAGCATAATGATGGCATCGGTTACAGA